TTAGACAAAAGTATTAAAATCAGAACTCAAAGAGATATGTGTATTCTTATGTTCATTTCAGTGCTATTTTTACTTACCTAATGGAAAACAATGTAAATGCTTGTTGAGTTGTGAATAGATGAAGAAAACGTGATATATGAGACAATGAAATAATTTTAAAAATCACAAACATAACACAAATTCCTCAACATACAACAACATGGATAAACCTTAAAGATATGCTAAAGAAATAACTAGAGAAAATGCTACATGATGACATCCGTTTGAAGTACCTAAAATAGTTACATTCATGGAGCCAGAGTAGACTGATAGTTGCCAAGGGTTAAGGGGTAGGAAATGAGTATGTGGGCATAAGGTTCTTGCTTAGCAAAGTAGATAACCCCTGGGTTCTGGAATTAGGAAACCTAGGTTCAAGTTCTCTTAACTGCATGATCAGCAAATGCTTGGTATTTGTGACCCTTTATAGTTGAGAAGAAGGAGGGGGAGGGGAAGGGGAGAAGGAGGAGGAAGCTTCTACAAAGTTTTAAATCCTTATAACATATATACCTAACAGTACCATCCTCATCTGTCAGCTTAGATGGACCATTTATAGCTAGATGACCATGAGGGAAGTCCGTCTCCTTTAGGTGACTTGGAGTAAACTTTAATACTTATTGAATAATGTGAAGCAAATCCAACTAAGATAATTTATTCATAGGTAGTTTAATGACACATGCACAGAGCTCAGGTTGTATCTGAATGAGCCTGGGTCACTGATATAAGCTGGTTCTGGTTTATGTCTCCTTCCTGGAAACTCAGGGATACCAAGTAGTTACGCATTGAGGGGAGTGTTCCTCTTTATTTCCTCTTGGATGCCTGATTACCTCTATGAGCATACTTTTCTTAACTGACACACTCACTCTCATTTGCTAAAATCTACAGCACGATGCTCAAGGACTATTTGTTCCTGTTAAATTACCTACCTGACAGTAATTCTCACAGGAACTCTTTTTTAAAGACTTCTTTGTGAAGTCTTTAACTTTATCCATTTAACATTCCATTTTTTTACCTGTTTGCTTTTCGAAGAACATCAAATAGATTGCTCAGTGAGGTATCATTCTGAAACACATCTGGGAAACTGGAGAGAAGCTGCCACACTGTCTTTTCCTCCTGTACTTGTGAGAAGAAGGATAGCACTTTGACCAGCTCCTGAAAGACTATCTTCTGGTTGTTGGGGTCACTGGACATCTTCAAAAACAAAACCACAGAGAACAGACTTCAACATTTATACTCACATAGTTTGCTGTCTTTGAAAGACTGGAAGAAAAACCTAGATTTTCACATTCACAGTTCTTTCAGATCCTTACTCAGTTTGAAGACATTTTTCCTTGGAAAAACTGCAAGTATCTATCAACATAATTAGGTTTTTCCTTATAGTACCAGATGTTGGCATATTCAAAGTTTGATTAACAAAACCGAATTCATGTAAAATGTTTTAAGTTAGATATTTGGAAATGAAAGTTAACTTTCTAAGACAAAATTAGCTTCCAAGTAACGTTTTTCACCTTTCTTATTACTCTCATAGGCGACACAGGCATATCGTCCCCATATCTTTTACTAGAACAAAAAGCACATATTTTTGTGGAAATTCCTTAAAACTAATTCATATTGAGAGATAACCAGGAAATATAGTATATATACATTCATGACACATATGGTATTTATCACATGTAGACAAATATTCACAAGTGTGTACTATTAGAATTTAACAGGGTAATGCAATAAAATATTTCCAAAATTCTCTTGCAATGCCGTGGACACTGGTTATAATGAAGGTTTGATGGCAATGAGTGGATCTACTTAATAATCACAACCTGTACTATAAACAACCCAAACGAAAACTGTGAGTTTTGACTTTATTTTAAATCATAGGATCCATCTCATATTTTGCAGAAATATTTCCTTAATACAGTCTCACCTAAATCAGTTCTCTTTATAACTCCATTCATACTGGCTACGTTGACCTTCCCATCTGTCTTCATCTGATTGGTTTTGAATGGTATATTTTTGGCCACTCAGTCCACTCTACATGACTGCGAAGTTGAAGTAGGAAAATTCAACCACTGAGCTACAATTGTGGCCCTCTGACACATTTAAGGAGAGCCAGAGCCTCCTATTGGACTTGGGTCATTACAATAGTGTCTTTAATCTGGTTTTCTTGGAAAACACAAATTACTAAGAGGTACTTTTTAAATTAAAAATTACTTTCATGTGAGTTTTCAGCTTTCTACTCTGTCTGCTTCCTCCATGCCTTCCCACCAAGATGTAACCACAAGTCCAAATAAGCTCTTCTTTCAGGAAAAAAATTACTTTCAATAAAATTTAGAGAAGCAAGAGGAAAATGCTAGAAGGCATGTTTTATTTATTCCTGTCCATAGAATTTCCAAAGAATTCTGATTTTTTTCCCCTTAAATATACATTTTAATGACCTAATCCTTAAAAATGCCCAAACACTCACATATACTTTAAACATTATTTAATCTTTTACAAATTTCATACTATTTATTTTTATTGTATTTAGAGCCCAAATCTGCAGCCCCCTTACAACTTCACAACCAATTTCATGTACGCTAACATACATACATATATATGTGTGTGTGTATATGTCAATAGAGTGAAATTTGTGTCCCTAAACACCCTTCAGTGTAGGTTCATCTATTGGAGCCTGATTAACCTACTAAGCGTCTCACCCTTAAATGAGACTGACTTCCCCATGTGGGATTTTGTCTGGCTTGAGCTTAGGTGTGACTTGTGCATGCCATTACCATTGCTGTGAGTTCATATTAGTAACTGACCAGCTGTATGGTAGAATTCTGATTTTTAAAAAATCTTTCATTAAGAGTGTTTGAGATATTCTGTATAAAATACACAAAAATTCAATAAAAACAAATTTAAAAATTTATTATACAAAATGTCTTTCATTACATGTAGGTTTAGTTAACTGTAGATTATCGGTCTCCTATATCACCATTGTCATTTAAGACTTCCATACACAGATAGCCATTAGCACCTCCTGTTGAAATATCACTGGTTCTATTGTGTAATATTTGGGGGACAGGGATATACTATTTCATCAAAATTCATATTACCAAAGTAAGTTTAAGGTCAGTGAGAAAAATAAAAAGATAGTACTTGTTATTCTAATTTCTGAAAGTATATGAGTCAGATAGTTTAATTATTAAACTTTCATTCTAGCCTGCAAAATCTCACTTCCAGATCTAGGGGAAAACAATCTTTATTCACCACAGAGCCAAGCCATATTTCATCTGAGCTGTATGCACATTAGCCATAAAGTAATATTTCAAGTTCAATATCAAATAATTTCAGTCATGCACATTTAAATGATAAATGAACATTACTTAACATTAAATATTGTATACAAATGTCTATGTGAGGGGAAATTATGCTGAAAGTGAGTAAGTATTCCAGTCAATATTTCGCAGTCCATGTGAGCTATGAACTTGCTCTTTAATTCATCATGAGTCACTTTGGGGATCCAAGAGTGGAAACAATGCCCCTCCAATTGTGTATGGGATTTGGTCACATATTTTAAAAAACCTACAGTTACCTGAGAGACCAGGTCTTTTAGTTCCTGGAGAGAAGACTCTAAAAGGGTCATGTTGGAAAAGCAAAATCTGTTGAAGACATTTTTCCCTAGTGTGATCCAAGAGAAGATATCCTCAGCAGTGTCTCCTGGGTAGTTCTCACAAAGTTCTTTCCTTATGTCTTCTGGAGTTGAATTTTGCTTTAACAGCTAAAAAAATGTGTGTGAGAATAAAGAAGTGGTGTTAGTAAGTATAAAAGCTAAAATACTTTCATCTTCCAGGCACCTGGCCTAGCTTCACAATAGCTATTTTGAAGTCCTGCATTATTAAATCAATTATTAAAATTACAGTAAGATACAATGAGTTTGCCCATGGAAAGTGGTGGAGAAAGAGTATACGTGAATAAATAAATTCTTGTCATAGTTTTGATTTAAATGATTTACATTTTGTTTGTGTGCCAGAACCCTTTTCCTATCTTTGACCAGAGAACCTAAGCGCACCAAGTGGTTTCTGACAAAAGTCTTCATGCATAATAATCATAATCATTCTTCTTAAGCATTGAGAAGCAGAAACTTAGGTGCCTCAACTCCATGTTTTTCCTATGAAACTGGTCACGATCTTCAGAAGATTGTCAAAAGACAGAGCTTCAAGATCTATTCTTAGGACAAATTGTGCTTATTTACAAAAAAAAAAAGGACTTAATGGGTTATGTTTTCTTTCAATCTCACATACGGAAAGATAAAAAGAAAAATGTATGAAAATATGTAAGTTTTTATAATTACAACAAGCTAAAATTGGAAATAATTTTCACAAAGGAATCATCATAACTCTCCTATAACCCATGGTGCTGATCAATTGCAGATGAAACACTCTTTTCAGCCCTGATACTGATCACATTCACCGTAATTAATTTATCTATTTACAAAGCTAACTACACTTAATTACAATACTCAAGGGGATTCCTTAACAGTTAATTCATATAACCCTTTGAGGTGAGGGCCAATTTCATCCTTCCTGTAAATTTGCAGCACAAAATCTACACTCTGCTTTCCAGCAACTCAACTTCTACATATAATAGAAAAAGACAGGATGCACTAACAGGATACACTATCCGTGCTAGGTCTTAGTCATTCTTCCACATCTCTTTTCTAACATTACATATAAACTCAGCCCAAAGTGATTTTTCTACACATTCCTGCAAGGATTGCAGAAAGTAGCAAAGAGAAAGAAAGGACTCAGGGAGATTGCTGACACAGGCATCAGTGTGTCATCCTAATTCTTACATCCCTCCCCTGTTCCAGCTACTCTAAAAATACATATATATACACATAAAATTCATTTGGGGCCTATCTCCCTGGGATATATGACTCTGTGCTGCCTCACAGAACTTTAAAATTTCATTCCTTATGAAAAAGAGAACTTGGGAGTTTCAATACAGTAAAGTAGTATTTTTAAGAATAGCATTTCTATCCTACATGTCAAAAACTTTACCTGATACAGTGCAAAACTCTTTTCCAGGAAGCATTATAGGGGCAGAAAGAAATAGGACAGATCATCCTTGTGTACACACTGGCCCACGTTGAGGAGGCTTTGGACTAGAATTAATTGGGAATGCTGAGAAAGTTCCAAAGCTACTTAGGGAGCTTTAAAAATCTCACTTATGACATAACACCAACTTTCAATGTCTAGACTATACTGAGCAGGGAAGTCTTAGATCACAGCACACAACTGTCAGAGTTGGCATCACCTCAGCGAGATGGTGCCCTTTTTTGGCATTTATTTCTGTGTAATTTTTTTTGTTTATTTACATGACTTAGTTTAATAAGATGCTTCAATTGCACACAATGGTCACTACTGAAGTCATAGTAAACAATAGTGACTAGGATTACTGGGAATGAAGGTCAGAGACAGGTCTCATGATGCAGATGGAAAAAATAATTGCTGTATGGATAAATTATTTAGTTTGTGTGTGTGAGAGAAAGAGGTAGAGGGGAGAGAGAGAGGGAGAAGGAGGGGGAGGGAGAAGGAGAGAGAGAGAGGGAGAGAGAGATAAAGAGAGAGAAAAGAAGGAAAAATGTTGGACCATGGAAGCCAGCCAAATAGCTTCAATACATGAACCAGGCTGGTTGAAAAACAGCAAGAAATGGGCATTGTAGTTAACCACAGAATAGCTGTTCTTCCCTAAAAGCACTGAAATCTAACACTAACACACACACACACACACACACACACACACACACACACACACTACAGCTTAGCTTAGCTTAGCTTACAGGTTGCCAGCTCACACTGCTTATAAAAGTGTGTTTATTATCTTGCAATCTGGGAAATCATAAAGTAGATGATCTCTAGGAAACAAAGAAATTCATAGGTAAGCTCTCTAAAAAATGCTAAGGAAAAGGATTTTCCTACTTAGGGGAGAAATTTTCCACAGCTCTAATTTGTCCAAAGACATTATTAATATGGATGAGACAGCAAATTAAGAGTGTTATAGCTTCGTTTTTTATTTCCTTGCTTCAGAAAATTGAAAGATCACATAAAATACCACATTATTTCTTACTAAGTGAAAACCTTCAGTTCAATTAAGGGACTTACTAAAGCAGTAAATAAATGCCCAAGACTTTAAGGAATTCACAATGTCTTAAAATTAAGCTATGATTGAAAAGTGCCTAGGAAAAGAGCCTGCCTGAGCTAGCACTTAAATGGGGAAAATGGGAAAAATATTCCAAGCCCCTTCCTGCTTGGTAGATCCCTCTATTAACCTAAAATGTGTTTCTTTAACTTCATTATCCATTCATAGCAAACCCAAATGAAGTTACCTTTTCCAAACCAAGGATGTGTGTGAGCACTTCACTGCCATTGAAAGTTTCAGTGTCCATGTTTTCCAGATTAGAACTTGGAATGGGAGATACTTTAGCTGTGATAGAAGAAAGGACAAATTAGAATTTTAAACACA